TAGGGGAGGGTCCACAGGGTGTTCTGAGTCTCACTACTAGATTGGACTCGTAGTGATCTACCTGTTTACAGCCTCCCAAGAGCTGGGATTACAGGCACGGGCCACCTCACCCAGTATCAATTGCTGTCTCAGCACACCCTGGGGGCAGGGCCGGCATGGCAGGCCCCAGGGATCAAACCCCCAGCCCCTGCGCCTGCTTGCAGGTGCTTTAATCCACTGAGCTATTTGGCCGGCTCTAGATATTTTAATATAAACATATGTGTATATATGCACATATATACTTATATGTAAATGCATACTTAGATATATATTTATATGTACTTATATGTATACTGGTATATGTATGGATATTTATATATACTTGTAGATATTTATATATAATACTTATATACAGTGTCTGCCAAAAAAAATGAACACTTCAGCAGTTCACCATGCTAATAAATGTCTTGAAGCTAATGACCACCACTCTGAGGACCCTTTATAATTGCAGAGGCCAAAGGTACCTTGGATCAATCTTATAGTACCTCAATAAATTTAATATTAATTATTATTATCTTTTTGGTACCAGGAATCGAACTTGCCAGGCAGGCGCTTGTGCCATTGAGCTATATCCCTAACCCTATTGAAATATTTTTACAAGTTTTTTTCTTTATGTACATATTTCTGGGGCAGACAGTGTTTGTGTCATATGATCAAAAAAATATGGTGCATATCTACATTTTTGAAAATTTTTTATGGTAAAACTCACATGCCGCCTGGAGATCCCCCCACTCCCTTCAAATGCATTATCCCATCATCCCCAACACTTTGTGCAGCCCCTGTGGTGCAGTTGTGGCTGCCTAGATGTCCTAAATCAATTCAAAAATGTTAATTTTTCCTGCCTGGCAAGCACAAGGTCCCAAGTTCAATCCCTGGTACCACAAGGAGAAAAAAAAAAAAAATTAACTTTTCATGGTCATCTTGACTTTGGGGAAGAGCCAAATGTCTCTTGGTAACAGATCCAGTGAAAAAGGTGGCTGAGGACACACTGTCATGGACAGAAACTGCCGTAACTATTTGATTAAGGGGGGAAATCATAAAATATGGTGAACATTTAAATGTAAAATATTATAGTAAAGTGCCACATTGCCATTCATCAAACTATCTCACTTAGGTATGGCAGAGTAGAAAGCAGCAGAGAAAGTCTCTGAAAGTTGCCATCCAGACCCTGGAATACAGCAATATGAAGAAATAAAGAGGGAGGGAAGTGGGTACCCTGAACCTGGGAAGGAGCTGGGGCACAAATAGAAGCCTGCAGACAGTGAAGGGAGGCACTTCAGTGAAAAGAAAGGAGGTAACCAGTGGCGCCTTCTCCCTGAGGTGGGATTCACTGCATGAGAGAAGCAGTTCAAACCTGCAGACACACAGTGACTTCTGGTAACACCAGAGGGCTCCACAGAAAGACACAGCTGTGGAGGGGAGCAGTGGGCCTGAAGGACTGCACTAGATGGCAGTGAGTGCTGAGGGCTCAGTAGTCCTATTTCAGAGAGCAATTGCGCAGATGCTATCTTGAAAAGGGGCCCACTGAGCAGCTACTGGTTCCATGTAGTGGCTCCAAGCTGGGTTCAGGCCCACAGAAGGTGCACTAACAGCTGCAGGCCAAATGAATCTGGTCTCGGCCAGAAGGTGCAGGCTCTCTGAGATTATCCACTACCCTACCAAAAAGCTACTGTTGGCTTAGCTCGGCATGGGTCATGACTCTGTCTCCACAGTTTACCAGCGACATCAGACAAACCTAGAGGTGGACTTTTTTTCTCTCTCTCTCTTGTATGTTTCTGGTTATTATAGTTTTGTTTTTGTTTTGTTTCTCCTTCTGGTTTGATCGTGTTTTTATATGCATGTGAATGTGGTTTCCAATTAATTTCCAACTCTAATTAGCCACAACGAGAAAAAAATCTACAGCCAGGCATATCATAATCAGTCTTCCAGAGATTCAACACAAGAGTAGACTTGTAAAAGGTATTAGGGAAAGGAAACAAATCACCTATAAAGGAAAGTTCATCAGAATCACAGCTGACTTCTCAGCACAAACACGCAAGTCAAGGAGAGCTTGGAGTGAAGGAGTTCAAGTTCTAAAGTAAAACAACCTTCAACCCAGATTGATTTATCCCACAAAACTATCTTTCAAAACTGATGGAGAAATGAGATACTTCCATACCAAAGAATATCTGTAGGAGTTTAAAACCTCTAAACCAGCACTCCAAAATGTTTTGAAGGACATTCTAGAAAGAGATAACAAGACTACAATTCCATGAGGCCCAGAAGAAGGAATCCACCAGACAAGGCAAACCATTAAACAGAGGGAGGGGAAAAAAAGAGGGGGAGCCAACAACAGAAAAATAACATGATGAGGATAAGTCATTGCATATCAGTTATAACCATCAGTGTTTATGGTCTCAATTCATCAATCAAAAGACACAGACTAGGGCCAGGGAGATGGCTCAGTGGAATAAGCGCTTCCCTGGCAAGCGCAAGGACCTGAGTTCAATTCCTAGTTCCGCCAAAAAAAAAAAAAAAGACACAGACTGGTAGAATGGATCCAGAAGCAAGATCCAACAATCTACTGCATATAAGAAACACATTTAGCTCAAAAAGAAATTGGTAGAATGAAAGTCAAAGGATGGAAAACAATACTCCATGTGACAGGAACCGAGACAAAAGCAGGGGTAGCTATTCTATTTGCAGACAAAGTGAGTTTCAAGCCAAGACTGATTAAGAGAGATAAGGAAGGTCACTATATTCTTGTAAAGAGAACAACGCAAGAGATAATAACCACAAATATATATGCAATAAGTACTAGTGCACACAACTACATAAACCATTTTTTAAATTTTTTGGTTTTTTATTTATTTATTTGGGGCAGGGTCTCAATACTCAGACTTGTAGTGATCCTCCTGTCTCTGCCTCCACAGTGCTGGCATTACAGGCACGTGCCACCACGCCCAGTTTCAGTGGCCAGTGTGGCATTCGGTGCCAAGGATCAAACCCAGGTCTTTATGCTTGACAGGCAGGTGTTTACACCATCAAGCTATCTCCCCAGCCCCCATAAAATAAATATTAATGGACATGAAAAGCCAAATAAGTTCTTGCTTTGGCAGCACATATACTAAAATTGGAAAGATCTAGGGAAGATTAGCATAGCCCCTGAGCAAGGATGACACGCAAATTTATGAAATGTTCCATATTTTTTTAAAAAATCAAACAAGCACTAATACAATTATATTGGGGGATCTCAATACCTCACTGTCACAAAAAGATAGACCCACTAGACAAAAGAATCAACAGTGAAATATTAGAACTGAACCAAACTTTTGAATAAATGGACTTAGCCTTTTGGTCTCAGCAGCACAAGCAAGATGACAAAGGGAATGTCATCCTTTGGAAAGAGTTGTAATAAGACACACACGTTGTGCCACCACTGTGGCTCAAAGACCTACCACCTTCAGAAGTCAACTTGTGACAAATGTGGCTATCCCACCAAGTACAAGAGAAAGTATAACTAGAGTGCAAAGGCTAAAAGGCGAAATACCACCGAAACTGGTTGAATGAGGCACCTAAAAATTGTATATTGCAGATTCAGGCATGGATTGAGGGCAGCTGTTGCAGCATCCAGTTCATCTTTAGAATTGCAACAATCACTCAAAATAAATGCAGTGGTTTTAAAAGAAAAAAAAAAAAATGAATGGGTTTAGTAGATGTCTACAGAGTGTTCCGCTCCCACAACATCAAAAAACACATCCTTCTCAGCTGCACATGGGACATTCTCCAAAATAGACCACATACTAGCTCACAGAACATGCTGAAGTAAATGCAAAGAAATTGAAAGTATCTCAGGTATATTATCAGACCATTGTACAATGAAATTGCAGTCAATGGCAGAAGAAACCACAAGGGCTTCATAAACACATGGAAACTAAACAGCATCCTCCTGAGCAAGAAATGAGACACAGATGAAATTAAAGAAGAAATTAGACAGCTTCTACTATTAAATGATAATGGCAATACAATGTACCAGAATTTATGGGACAGAGTAAGAGCAGTCCTAAGAGGGAAATTTATAGCAGTGAATACCCAGATTAGGAAAACAGAGTAAGAACAAATAAACCACATGATGGTGAACCTCCAGATTCTAGAAAAAGAAGGGCAGGCTAAGCCAAAAGCTTGTACAAGAAAATTATAAAGATCAGAGAAGAAATCAATACATTGAAGACTAAGAAAAAAATACAAAGAATCAATAAATCTAAGAGTTGGTTCTTTGAAAAAATCAAGTACAACTGACAAACCCTAATCCAATCTTATAAAAAAAAAAAAAAAGAGGAAAGAAAAGTATGGACCCTGCAGAAAATGAGAAGTTCACCTACACCTACTTCAAAAACTTATATTCTAATAAGATGGAAGATGCAGAAGAAATGGGCAGACTACTAAATACATATAAATTACCAAAGCTAAATCAAAAAGGTATGTGTTATGGTTTATGTCTAGTTGTCCCCCCAAAGCCTCATGCAGACAGTGAGGTGGCTTCCTGAGTTTATGATTAATGATCCAATGCAGGGATCATGGATGTAAGTGCCACACCTGCCTTGGGGTAGGCAGTCTGTATATAATATAAGGAAGGGAGAAAGGCTTGCTAGCTGCCACAACTGCTGCTCCGCCCTCTTGGCTTCTTGCTGTTTTCTGCTGCCATGAATAGCTGCCCCCTTCCATGGCTGCTCTGCCTTGGAGCCAGCCAAGTGTGGACTGAAACCTCACAAACTATGAGCTAAATAAGCCTTTCCTTCCTTAATTTGGAGTGTTGGATATTTTGTCCCAGCAATGAGAAAAAAGGAACTGAGACAATAAAAAAATCCTAAACATACCAGTGTCAATCAAAGAAATTGAAGATGTAATTAACACAAAGAAAAGCCAACGAGGGCTGGAGAGATGGCTCAGTGGTCTAAAGCACCTACTGAAACAAGCTTGGCAAAGCACAGGGACCACGGTTCGATCCCCAGCACCACATGCCAGCCAGCCCCGCCCCCTGGTGGGCTGAGCTGGCCACACACACACACACAATAAATAAATGTAATAAATAAAAATAAATATTAAAAAAAAAAAAAAAGAAAAGCCAACGAGACTGGGCATGGTGGCATGTACCTATAATCCCAGCTCTTGGGAGGCTGTAAACAGGCAGATCACTACGAGTCCGATCTAGTAATGAGACCCTGAACACCCTGTAGACCCTTCCCTAAAAATGCCAAAAAAAAAAAAGGAAAAGAAGGGAAGAAAGCAAAGCCCAGGTCCTCACAGATTCACTGATGAATTCTACAAGAAATTTCGAAAAGACCTAATACCACTACTTCTTAAACTCTTTAATGAAAGTGAAAGGAAGCAATACTCCTCAATTCATTCCTGGATGCAAGCCTTACCCTGATATCAAAACCAGAGAAGGACTCAACAAAGAAAGAATACCACAGGCCAGTCTCCCTAATGAACACAGATGCACAAATCCTCAATAAGATTCTTACAACCAGAAAGCAGCAAATCATCAAGGAAATTACACACCATGGCAAAGTTGGATTCGGCCCAGGGATGCAGGAGAGGTTCACCATATGTAAACCAGTAAATATAATACATACATTAACAGAGCCAAAGACAAAAATCATGTGACCCATGGAGAGAAAACATTCTCTCAGGCTTTCACATAGAGCACATTGGCCAAGCAATGGCCGTGACTCATCCGCATGGCTGACACTGACAGAGGATCTACAATCTGAGGTACAGGATCTCAGGATAAATCCTGAGGGAATTTCACTGACCTTATCAGACCCAAAAGCTACAACTCTTGTTGCATAG